TTTCTTTCTTTCTTTCTTTCTTTCTTTCTTTCTTTCTTTCTTTCTTTCTTTTTTTTTTTCTTTTTTTCTTTTTTCTTTTTTTCTTTTCCCTTAAAAAAAACCCACCTGATTTATCTTGAAAGATTCTAAACTCCTTAAGCAAGCAGTAGGGTCTGTGTTGGTAAGTAGGGAGTGCGTCTTTCTAGCTTGATGACTTTAATTGTTTGTGCTTGCTTTGTCTGCTGAGCCTTTGCTTAACAAGTTTAATATTTAGAAATGTTGAATCTTTGTTTTCTCTGCCTTGTGGTCACATTACGGCGTTTGGTGATTAAGCTCTACCGAGGCGAACACATTTGATAATGTTCTAATTCACACAGCGGAGGGCTGGGTGCCACCGTGCAGGAGGACCTGCTTTGTTCCGTTTTCCCGGCGCTAATAAATCACCGGCTCCTAATGCGGGGCCAAAAAAGAGATGGAGAGGCGGCGAGCATTGTAAAGGAAAAGTCACGGGCGAATTTCTCTATGACTCATTAGTCTGAACGATTTATGTAGGAACTTAAAGTGGCGCAATGAATATTAGAGTTTGGAATAACAACAAATTAAAAAAAAAATGTCGTAGCGTTTGTAAAGTGCTTTATTGCTACTTAGCAACTCTTTCAAGAGGAAGCGTAGTTTAAAGGGCCGTGGCAGCGTAATGTATGGCGGTGTGACTTAATAGCTCCAAAATAAATAACAGAAAGTCGCTGGCACCGTTTGCAGATACACACTCCATATTTAACACGAGTGGGGCAGCCCGGTCCCGGCTCTCTTGATCGATGCTGATGGCCGCTCGTGGAGCGGCTGTCGATGAGGGGTCGGGGCAGGGAGGTGCGGGCTGAGCCCGCGGTGCGGGGCGCCTCCGAGAGGGGCGGCTGGAGCGCCGGGGGCAGCGCGGCACGGATGGCGGCGGAACTCGCCGAGTCCTTCGGTGTTTGCCAGGAGATTGTAGCAGTCAGCGCTCTGAAATTTATGAGACGGCAATAAACAGCTTAGGAGGCTATTATTGCATGATTTTATGTAGGCTGGAGTTCAACACCAAATTTAAAATTATTAGAGTAATTATGGGACTACTAAATTACCAACGAGAAGTATCTGCTGGAAAAGTTCTCCCAAGACAGACTTAATATTTCCAGGGCTCAGAAGACGTTCTTCTACGAGAACTGTGTTATTTAATTATTAGCATTTACATTTACTGACAATTTTCAGACGCGTTAGACGGCTTTTATTAGCGAGAATGAATAGAGGGGGCACGTTATTACATCTGACAAATTCATACGTAAACGTGATTCAGTAAGTGGCACCCGAATAATCTGACTATTGTCTCTTTGGATTGTGCAATACTGTTTATTTTAGGGGGAGAGAGGCCGTCCAGTTTTCTCCCCCCGTCTGTTGGCTTTCAGTGTTCTCGCGTTGTTCTTTTTTCTTTTTCTTTTTCTTTTTTTTTTTTTTTTTTTTCCCTCTTAAGCCTTTCGGGCCCGATGCTGCTTCGGCGAAGTCAATTATCAGGCTCTTCCTGCGCTACTGGGGCCAGGATCGGGCCCCGCTCCCTGTTTGAATGAGAGCCCAACCACAATACTCTCCGTATTGAAACTGGAACTCGTTCCGCGTTTTATTCAACAGAGATGAACACCACTGGTTGTGTTTAATGTCTGTTCTTGATTAAATGATCCTAAACAAAGGTTTCCCAGAGGAAAATAAAGCAGACATTCATGTAACAAGAGTTTGGAATGACAATATTTCCAAACACTTGGAGACAGAAGGCATAGCTGTCTACGGGAGGGAGGGGGGGGAGAGAAAAAAAGAGTCCCACGCTTTTATTTCTCAGCTAGCAGCGCTCCTCGCCCCGCCGGAGAGTTGCGGGGCCGTCCCGGCACAGCCCACCCCGCCCGCGGGCGGCCGAGCGCCGGCCCCGCTGCCCCCGTTAAGGCGTTGTTTGTCGCTTGTTTGCAGAGCGCCCGGCGCCCCGAAAAGCCCCGCTCCGGGCGGCGGCAGCTCTCCGGCCCCGGCCTCGGCGGCGGAACGAGGTAAGAGTCGGGACCGGCCATGTGCCGGCCTCGTACCTGAGAGGGGTGGTGAGAAATATTTAACCGAGCAGGGGGTTCGGTGGCTCGTCTCTATTCATCTTCCGCCGCTGCGAATGCGCGTGTCCGGGCAGACAAAGCGACGTGCGGGACCCGAGTGCTCAGGCATATAAAGGCGCCGGGAACAGGAAGGATGCGAAGTCGGCTGAGGAGCCAAAGAGCTTGAGGATTTCTTCGTCTGTACTGAGCTCCTTTCAAAATCGAAGGCGTAAGGGAGACAGGGTGATAGCGGCAGCACGGCGGGGCTGAGCTCTTATCGCTGCCGGTCTGTCGGAGGCTCCTGGAGGGGCCGTGCGGCGATGCCCTGCCACGGGACACGGCTGTGCGTGGATGCTCATACCGCCAATAAGCTCAGGTAGCTGCCCGGCCCGGCCCTCCTCGCCCCGGCCGTGGGCTGATGCAGTTGGTGCCCGAGCCCTGGTGCTCTGGCAGGGGCCGGCGATGCTTTCCGTAGTCATCGTGTTCTCCTGCCAGCCGCAGAGAAGGGAGGATTAGAGAGAATTAGCGTAAATTCCTGCTAGATTTACCTGCTTATTTTTGGACGCTGATGTACAATTAGTGTATTTTACAACCTTTTAAAAGCGGTCATAAATTACAGGAATACAAGGGCTCTTTGTGTCGGTTTAATGAGCTGCTTAAATCGTAACTACAGAAAAGTGCTGCGAACGTCCACTCATGGAAATTTAAAAGCGAAAACACGGTGCGAGGGAACCTTCCTCCTGTGGCACCCGCAGCATTTCGTGCGGAGATATTTGGGATTCCTAAAGTGCCCCGGCGCTCAGCCTCAGCTGCCTCTCGGGGCAGCTTCCATCAGGGCACAGGCGCTAGCTCTGCTCTTTATCTGCTTCGAAGTGATCAAAGGGCGACTTTATCTCGATCAGCCTCGCAGATGTAGGTAAACAGCTCCGCATCCCAGCAGATCCCAACTCTTTCGAGGAAGCGAGGAAATAAATACTCGTGTAGTGCGGCGATTCCCATGTCCTCTCCACATGGGAGTGACAACCTGACCTCTTAACGACTGCCATAAACGTAAACATGAAAGACGGCAGAAATTCGAAATTTATTTGTACTGAAGGTAACTTTAAATCACATTAATGCTAGGAGCGTTTATTGGTGCCAGAGCTGGCAAAAGGGTTTCTCATTACGAGTGCACGTTACGAACTCAGATCTGTTTGTTGTTACCGAGGCTGGAATTTCAGCCCAACTCGGAGCCATGTGTATAAAGCGCAGAAAAAATCAGCAGCAGACTCACTGAGAAACGCCACGTTT